ACAGGATGAGCTCTTGCATTCACTTTGGACGCTTTGATCATTTCACGATGAAAAAACAAAAGTTAGCTGTGGAAAAACAAATTATCTAACTACCGAGGGGTTTCTATACTCTTAAAAGAACCCATTTACTGCGAGCACAGTGCAAATGAGGTAATTCTCTCAGCGGGAAAGCTTGCCCCAATTTACGCCAACGCACATTCTGGGATTCCCAAGTCTTGGCTCTAGTCAACCTACGCCTAGTATTTTCCAGAATAGGTAAGCAGGATGAGATCCTACAGAAGAGTACAACTCCATTCCAACAATCTATCCATGTGTAAGTCGAATGCATGGAATTCTCAGTTTGGTTTGCACACTATATTAAGCATAGGGATGGGCTTCCGCATGTGTCAAGATACCCCGCTGACCAAAAAAATGGGTGTACATGCCTTTGTTTTGCCTCTGACCGCTAGGAAACATACTTCATTCTTGTGTGCATTCTCCCTCTCTCTCTCTCTCTCTCTTTCCCCGCCTCTCTCTCTCCCCTCTTCCACTCCTCGCAGCCTGCTTTCTATTTGACTGCATCTGATTTAAATTTTTTTTCTCTACAAACACCATTAAGCGTAGTGCTTAAAAGAATCAACATAGGAATCTCCATATGCAGCTGTGTCCTGAATAGTATTCGCCAAATAGTGTCTTTTGACTGGAGAGTACATTACTTGGCAGTGCCCACTGCCCTCACTAGGGAATTTGCAGTTAAGATTGTTCTCAATTCTGTGCCTAAACTTTAGTTGCAGTAAAGGGCTTTGGCATATTTGCAAAAATGATGAATACTTTAAATGGTTATTTTAACACATAATGACGTTTGCCTATAAAATATGTAGCACTTTGAGACATCCTCCTGACTTGAAAGGTGCTCTAGCAAATGTGAGGATTATAACAATAATATTAATAAAAATTACTACTAATAATGCATTGTAGCTTTTTTAAATTAAAAATCAATTTCATTTATTTTCCTGGTGCTTTTACATTTCCATCCTCGCCGTCATCCCTTGAACACAAAGTGCCATGATTGATCGATTCCCTCCCAGGCCTCTGATTACTTCAGGTGTGTGGGCGCCTTGCTGTAAAGCTTTTCTGAACTTACTCTATGAGATGTCCGCCTCCAATCCCTCTTTTCCGATGGTGGAAATGTACTGTGTGTGTGTGTGTATCTGCCTGTCTGTGTGGGTTCCTCTCTGAGCTGTCTCCAGCTGTATATCTGTCACTGTGCACGCCTGGCTGTCTTTGTGTGTGCGTGTGTGTGTGTGGAGGAAATATGTCCCATAGGTTTAATTTAATCTTTCAATAAGATTTTATACTTGAGGGTAATAATCGCTGTTGATTGAAATAGTAACCCATCCCCCTGAGTATTTCTCCTATTTGCTTCTCTTTGTTTCACTCCTTTATGTGTGCATTTTTAAAAAAAATTTCATTTCAATTTCCAAAATGAAACTCTTATTTCCTCAGACTGGGTTTGGAGGCTCTCAGTTGCCTTTGGTTCCATTTGAAAAGTAAATTGGACAATTACTAAAAATGTTTTCATTCTCCTCTTTGCAACAATGAAGTGAAATTGGCAGCGTTTTTGTGTAACATTCAATGGGATAATTACCACAAGGAAACACTGCTAATTTCAACTGCATTATTTCCACGCTGTAAAGGTCCAACTCAAAACTGAGTCCTACAATTCTGTTTCCTTATTTCCTTCCTTAGTATAGCGCCTTGATTTGAAATACCATCATTATTCTACCCTTCGCCTATAAAATATACAGTATCTACACTTTACAGCAGTGGTAGCCATCCTGTGGCCTGGGGGCTGGAAGTGGCAATCCTCCTTTTATTGCAGGTTTACAAATGCAAGTTGGTACTTACCCTGAGTTCTATTTTCAAACACATGCTATATTAGCAGGGGCTGAAGCACAGACCCCAACAGTCCTGATCCTGCTGTTTGAAGATTGGGTACAGTAGTTTACAATGAACAAAGGTTTGATTTGTCCCAAGTTAGCTCCAACTGCAGTGCCTGTAAGAAAGGTTTGGTTCTGCACAGAAACTCCACTTCCCCCAGATCGACACTTTAAACGGTGCAGTGCTATCACAGAACAAACCACACAGTATTAGCTTGATGCAGTCCTGCGTATAGGGTTTGTTTGTATTAAGTTGGCTCAGCTCTGTGATATAATCGCAATCTTGTAATCCAGACCGCGTTAAAGCTCCTGCATCGCAACAACAGCGCAAATATGTCAGAATAATGCAAATTTATTAACAACACATTAAATCTCCAGTTGTAGCTAAAAATGAACTTGCCATTTGTTTCAAAGCTACAGAATGAGTTGTGCACCAACCACAAACAACAACAAATTATATTTGACCGTTGATCCAATGACAACATGAGATACAAGCCCATTCTGAAGCCTGTCAGCAAAATATTAGAAGTCAAGTCATTTGTTTCCTTCTACTCTATGCAAATTGGCTGCCACTTTCCTGAGAAATACTGTCACTACACTCGAAGGAAATTCCCTGTGAAGCGCTTTGAGACATTCCAACATTATAGGCGCTATACAGTTGCATCTGTCCTCAAATATACAGACACTGCACTTCACAGTAAAATCCTGTGAAGCGTTTTGAGATGTTTCGACAATGTGATAAAGTGCTGTAGCAAATGCAAGTATTATTATCAAATGCAAGGATCAGGGTTTTTTGGTTGGGTAAGAAACAAGGTAAAGCTAAATGTACTTTACATTTGATTTGGCGAAGGAAGGCCATCAAATTATTTGTGGCTGTTAAGACTGTCCATGTTTATTTCCAGAGGGTTGATATTTCCTCTCCTCCGCTCCTGTGATCCCAAACGCTGAACTGAAATTAAATTTAATGGTACCAGTGTACTGCTTCTCAGTGGGGAGTCCCTTTACATGTTTCATCCCAGGGGACGCTGCTGTGGCAATTCCCGTCTTTATTTCAGTTCAGCACATGGAGGTGTTGAAGCCTGGAAATGTGTGGACCCAGCATGGGGTATTGCCATGTTGTGGGGACTGTTGCGAGCACGGTGATGTCTGTAACCAAGACAACCATCTACGCCTTGAAAAGCAAAACAGGGATAGATGTTCCTTTTATTCTAACCCAACACTAATCCTGGGGTAAAGCTCCTCAGTACAATTTATGGTCCGAGTCTGCTCTGGAATATCCAGAAAAAGCTGTAAGCAGTTTGAGTATTTACAGAGTTCCACCATATATTTATAGAGTTTTTCCGTGTTTCAAGTTAAGGTTTGATCTTCTCCCCACACATCCCGAGGGAGTTATCCATCTGCTGGAATAACATTTTAACCCTATTCTTCTCACTCCTTTCTTTCTAACCAATAAATCTTGGCAGCGACTGAAGTAAAGCTGAGAAAGAAGCAAATAAACCACAACTGTTCCCAATTTTCTTTCTAGAAAAGCGCATGCAATTGCAGATTAAGTATTGGGATCAACCGAATGGTGTTTTAATGAGAATTTTTCAGTCTGCTGCTGTTTGTTCAGGGTTTTCTGTAAGTGGGCCTCAGACTTGCTTCAATTTGCAGCCTTCTGCTTAGGATTTGTTTAAACGCTCAAGCACTTGAACTGTGGGGCACTCTGCTTCATAATTAGTCAGATGGGAATATCTTCTATAAGTAGTAAGGCCTGATAGTAACCAGCATTTGTTTTACCACATTTTACTGCACTCAGCCTCTGGCCTCCATACACTAACATAGGCCCCTGCAGGTGAACAAATAGCTTGTCAATTTTTCCACGACTTTTAACACCGTTTGTCAAAATATACCCCACAAAGCAAATAAATATGATTTAAGTACAATTTTGACAACAATAAATGCATTGGTTATTTACATAATTCTCACCCTTATCATTAGTAATTGTGTAATTGAGCGCATGTATAATTCCTCAGTAGCACACGCACAAACACATGGTGCAAAATACCGAACTGTGAGCTTGGATCAATTCCTTATTGTCTTCGCATATTTTAGTCTGCAGTGTTGGATTGAAGAAACTACAGTAAAAATAATAAGTTGCTGAAATTGGAAGAAAACTGATTGCAATGCAATGTGATCTGGATTCCCTTAAGCTGTTTGTTTAAGCTGTTTGTGTCTGTTGGCCAACACTTACTGGGCAGGCAGAGAAGATGGTCTGCGTCGTACAACAGCAATGATTACACATTCACCATTACATGTGAAGCAAAACCACAGTCTGGCACAAGGAAAGTAAAGGGTTGAGTGAGTGAATCCAGTTTTTCGCTGTGTATTTGCAGCACACATGTGGCAGCACATAATATGGCTCTTTTATGCTTGTAAGTGGAAGCCAAATCCCTGAGTTCAGGAGTTTCAGTGATGGGAAAACTTAGTCCATTCGAAATAATCCTGCCCTTTTAGCGTGGTTAACTAATTCCAATGGACTTCATGGGTAGACCCTACCACAGCTCCAACTGTTAAATTATTGGTAACACCAAAAAAAACATTGCCACTACAGTCCATCTGGCTCTCTCCCTTATAAGCATTTTAATATCACCATTTATTAAAGGTCTCTCCTCGCCATTTTAACTGTTCGAAACTTAATTGGTAATAGTGCACATTGAACCCACCTGGAAACCCATCCTTTGGAATAAACAGGAACAAAGGTGGTGCTTCTGAATGTTGTGCAGGCCGATTGCATGCTGCAAAGTTAAAGTGAAATATTTTATTCTCAAGTCAATGGAGGAGATGGAGATGATGCTGGCATCTTTTAATAGGCACAGATTTACAACTGGAAAACTGGCCATTTCTTCCTTCCTTCCTCCTTGGTGCCCTCCAAGTTCTGCTCTACCCTGTGCATGCACTGCTGTAGACCCGGTTTCACAGAGACCATAAAACACCAGGAACAATCGTATGATGCACTTTTTACTGTGTTTTGAGATTGCTGAAGTGCTGTTGAATTCTGAAAGAGCTGTGTTTAATCTGCTGTTTGATTCCCATTCACAGAATCTCAGGAATTTTCACAGCCTCAGCTCTTTGGGCAGCGCTGGGGACGATTGCTGCCAGCAGCAAGGACAGCCTGCATCTCGGAGCGTGACCACCACAAAGAAATGGACACCGTCCCTTTGTGACTCCGCTCCGATGCCAGGCACCACGCCTGCCTGCAGCCCGGAACTGCAGCATCACGAAAACGTGGGCGAGCTCGCCACGAGCGTAAGGAAAACCAGGGAGGAAGGCAAAGGGTTCGGAGCCGTGAAGGAAAGCTGTCAGAGTGAGGAGAACGAAAAGGACACGTGGAGGAAGGGGGAAAGCGGACAGGATACATTTCAGCTGGACTGCGAACTGGATATTGAACAGATAGAAAACAACTGAAGAAGTTTCCCGTTTTGACTGCCCAGTTGTACAATGAGTGAGCAGAAGAGATTTATGAAATTCTGCACAGTTCTGACACATTGACTTCTCTTCAGAGCTTTGAAACGCAAGGGCTCTACAAAAGCACGTGAACTCAGTACAACTCCATGACTAGAACTGACACCAAGATTTGCCGAGCGATGATCAGGAGGGGAAAACAACAAGGAGAGCAGCGGCAATTTCCATTTCTTTTTAACCCACTCATTAACTACTTGGATTTGCCCAAGGCAGTCTCCAGTTTAAAGCTGTCCGGAATAAAAGAGTGGGCCCTTTTCCCTTCATGTATGTTTTATACCAGCTTGATCATAGTAGTTTTATATGTTTAAGTTGTTTCGATGCAGTGTAAATGTGGTTTATAATTCCGATCTTATGATTGACACTCTTTCCCCAAACCCGTAAACGAATGTTTGACCAGGATGCCGACTTTCTTACTCAAGAACTGATCTCAGTGGATTTGACCCACAAAGGGAAATCTGATGACTTTTATAAGCTTGCAGTGGTTTTTATATTCTTATTATGACTAGCTTCTGATTTATTTTTTAAAAAAAACTTGCATTATAATTTACATTTTACTGTTTTCTTCTCAATACAAAACTTTGCCTTTGAACTCTGTCTGTTTGTTCCTCCTAGACTTCCAGTAATAGGGTTAGCCTCTCCATTCAGCTCTAGTTTTCTTTGCTGCTGATTAGTTTCAGTAGGTTTGTCCTGCTCATGCCTGAACTCCATGTCTGATATCACCCTGAGGTGTACAGGAGGATTGGAGGCTGGGGGGAAATCAGCAGCCAAGACACATGATATTGAGAGAGAGAGGGGGGAGATAATCAAGTGTTCACATGAGGAGAGCAGATGGTGAGGCTCCCCTCAACGATAAAAGTAGCAGAAATTTGTCTGGTAATTGTAAAATGGAGAGTTAAATCCTGCCCAAATCAAGAGAGTTGGCATCTCTGGCTTTGAACAGCACCAAGTTCCAGTATCTGTGCATTTGTGTGTGTGTGTGTGAGTGAGCGCATGTGTGTGTCTATTGTAGACTCAGGGTGTCCATAAATGGACTTGTAAGATGAACATTTAAAAAAGAAAAAAAAACCATTCACCATTTTTAAAAAATTTATAATTGTTCCCTGTCGCAAGACAAGAGTTATTTTCTACTGCAAGTTTCTATTCTCTTCTACTTGCGTGCAACGAAATTATCAACAACCTCATTCTTTGCAATAAGCTGAAATGGGAATTTTGTCAGAACCACAGGGTGTTGGAAAGATGCAAGCGGTGTTGCCGGTTTCAGGTAGAGCTCGAGAGAAAGACTGTCGGAAGTGTGATGGGAATGAGTCACGTACGGGAAAGTCATGCTTAGAAAGGACTTTGTCTGGTTTAGGTATTGCAGATACTGGAATGTCAGGAATTCCGAGAAAGACAAAGTATTGAGCATTTTAAACATTTTCCAAATGTAGACCAAGCAATATTTTATGCCTATACAGTACTACCTGCATGTGGTAGCGAAACAGACGGGAACAGAATGCATTGTTTAACGCTGAAGGCTTTTGCAACTCGTGAAATGCTGTCGTGATGTGGAATGGGATGACTCTGAAAGATTTGGACCACAAAACCCAGGGGCTAAAGACTGCCTTTCCTACCATTGGTAGCAGCAATAACACAGCACTGCATAACCTGTTTGCCTTACTTCAGAAGCTTACACAAAAGCTGCAGTTATATGTGGCAAGTCTGGACACTTAACTCAAACGATAAAGGTATCTCAAGGAAACTTACGATGAGTCTGTCATTCTAGAAGTGCGGTTGGTCAGATGGACTGCTTATACCAGCAGTGAAAGTGTGGGTGATAGTGACTGAAATAAACTGGAGAGCACTGTTGTATTTCAGAACATTTTGTGATGTGATTGTTACCTAGAAACGAGGAGGATTCTGAAAAATACAATACGTTATTATAATTCAGCAAATTTGATTGTTTTAAAAAGAATATCACTTCCTGTCTTATAGAGGCTCTTCTCAACTTTCAATAAAAGTGAGGCAAAACAGATTTTGTTCTTGGTTTTTCAGGTTAATATTTGTGCGTGCCACTCACCAATAGTGCTTTATTGTTTGTGCACACACACTCGCACCTCACAATCGGGGGAACAGAGTGTGGTGTGAGTAGTAGATTTCTCTAAGGCCCTGCTCAACACTGTGCTGTGATATTGTCGGTGTTTGTCGACAAAATCGTCTCTACACTTTACAGTACCTCCCGTGAAGCACCTTGAGATGTCCTCCCAACGTGAAAGGTGCTATATCAAATCCAAGGATTATTATTGTGTTGGAAGTTTGACTGTAATATGATAATAATCCTTGCATTTGATACAGTGCCTTATCAGGACTTTGAGACATCACAAAGAGCTTCACAGAATATATTGTAAAGTGGATTGACTATATTTTGTGGGAGAAACGCTGGCTACAACAGTTGGTCTATAATTGAATTCCATCACTGTTTATACAACCACCTTATAATGTTCAGGTTTATATCTCTCTGTGGCAAACTCAGCTGGTTAGGATGACTGAACATTTTGTACAATAAACAAACAAACCAACAATTTATATTTACAGGATATTGCATCTTTCATGTCAGGAGAACATCTCAAAAACTTCACCCAGCTGACTGGGTCCCCGACAATAGAGTGGGGTGGGGAGAGGGAAAGAAAAGATGATTGCAAGCATGAGGCGGGGTAGGTCAGCTTGGTTTGCAAGAAGAATCGGACGTCTGCTTGGAAGCAAACATACACAAAATAAAGAACCCAACAATTAGTGTTGGGTGAATGCATTCACATTGTTGAGAATCATTAAGGGATTAATGGGTTTCCAATCGAAGCCATCTAACATTGACCCTGGATGGATGAAATTCAGCAGAAGAAGTGTAGTATTTTTCTTGGAACTGGGGCAAACTTGAATTTGATGCTTTGCATTTCAGACATGAACAGTTAGCAGAGAAGAACTTTCTCAGCTCTCTTTTGCTCTTCTGCAAAATCATGAGCTGAGAAAGGTCATGGGACAGAAAAATGCATAAACAAATCTAACGCATGCCACTGTACAAGTGAGCGTGTGGTCTTGGATTATTCTCAGCAAAGGCCTGCGTTGTTCAGTGAAGATTATTCACAGACTGAGCTCACAGGAGCCTCTGATCATTATTCTCCTATTGCACTGGTACAAAGCGGGTCCTTAGGAATTTGTGTTTGGCTTTGAATATTGAAATAAAGCTCTCTGTTTGAACACTTCAGTCTCAATGTTCTGCTTTGAAAATATTTGCTTATTACTGTGGGATTATGCAAATCAATTGCTTCAGAAGTGATGGCGGTGCACATGTTAAAACCACACAAGCGATAAAAGACAGTTATCAGTGGAATTGGGAAATCAGAACATATTTGTAAATTTGATTATCAAATAAACGCAGCCATGGTAACGTTATTCTTTAGCAGCTGGTTAGATCACTTATTTCTACACAATTCTGTTACTTGTTCCAAATTCACGGATTCACGGCTTTACAATCTGTGCGCAATTGGCTACCACGTCTCACACACAAAGTATAGTCAATTCACTTCACTATCCTGTGAAGCGCTTTGAGACAGCTTGAAGATGTGATGAGGTGCTATATCTAGTGGAAGGATTATTATCCAAATTCATGATACAGGAAGTTTATAGCTATTCAGGGATGGGTACAACAGAATATACTTCAACTCTACGTGCAATCTGTTTGACCCTCATCTCTCCTTTAAGCCTAAAGGATGTTACCTCTGATAATGCAGCACTCCCTAAGCATTGGCTGAAGTGTAAGTCTAGGCTTTAAACTCCAAGAAACTGAGATCACAGATTTGAACTTTAGATCCGATTTTTTTNAATGCAAGAATACAGCATGAATTACTCACATCTGGTTAAGATTCAGTAATAGTGTCCATTTAAATTTCACAGCATTGCTAGTAAACAAAGCCTCTTCGTTTCTACAATTCAGCATTAGCTCAATGTGACTGTAAACAAAAGTTACATTAATTTTGACAGACTACAGCTTGTGTAAGTAAAACTATCTTCAAAAGGGACAAGCATGCACACTCATCTCTTAACAGCCTTTTCAGGTGAGACCAAACAAAGACAATCAAGTGGATGACGTGAAACACCAAATTAATTTGTAAATTTTCCCTGTAAATTGACCTGTTATCCTCAGTTCAGTTTTCTAGGTATCACGGTCCTTTGCTGCGTTACTTGTTTAAATGTTCCAGGAGGATGTCAACTGCTTGTGCTAAATTGTCCACGTAACCATCTGCCTTCACTGTTGGGTGCTGTTCATCAGATGGCCTGCAGATAAAGCAATAAAGGTCAACCCTGTAAATACACTGCCATTTGGATGCTTTGTCACTTCAAAATAGCAAACAAATCTATGTAACAGATTTGTATTCAAATTGCCCCCCTTCATGACACGTGGTTAATAGAAGCAGATTACAGTCAAGCTAATGAAGGTTGGAGGGGCAAGGCTGGTGGGTAAGGAGATTGCTGGCTCTCAGAACAGCCTGGGATACAAAGCCACTAGGATGAAGCTTCATACCACTATCCCCCCCTTTAATTCTGTTGGGAGACTGCACACATGCACCCTTTCCCAACCAGTCTTTTTCAGCCGAGGCCAAGCAAAGGCAGTCAAGTGGGTGACTTGACCCAAGCTTTTTAAAGACACAAATGCAAATTCTTCAGTAAAACCTTTGTTACACGATGAGCATAAAATTTAAAAAAAACTGGAAAAACAGTTACAATTAAAATAAAGTAACAGACTTGAAAATAGAACTAAACTAGCACTGAAGCACTATTGCATGTGGACAAAACAGTAACTTAACACAATTGGTTTGAGTGAGAATCACAAGCTACGAGTGAGGTACAGTAAAAGTTTGAAGGGAGACTAAAAGTACTAAACCTGTACTTGGGGCGCACCAGCAGATCAGTTTGCTCTGTGGTAAATAGTTGTCAGTTTAGTCTGTTATAAAACAAGTGAACCAACAGTTTTGTGGATGATGAGCGAGATTGTAAAAGTAACCACTGAATGATCAATATCTCAGAATTGGCTTTTCGCATTTGCTTAAAACCGTTAAGTTGCAGATTGTGTAGAATCCTACATGAAGCACCATCTGTGCCCCCAATTGCTAAGTAACGGTCTGAAGAAGATTACAAGTCAGTAACAAGTTGAGGAACAGAGATACAATCGATAACCAAGATAGTGCAGTTCAGTTATACCTGTTTAAGCAATACTGTTCAGTTATACACCAAAGACCTGTTTGGCTCTCTGGGCTTTTGCTGGCTTTTAGAATCGTATTTAAACCATTTTGCAGATTTAGACAGCTTTTCATATTTGTTACTGCAAATCTCAATCAACATCGAACAACAATTACCGTGTGACCAATACAAATGAATCCCCACTATGTCCCATTGCACTGCTGTACCATTGAGCTGCCACGATTCAGTTTTACTGCTCAGGACTCACTGGGTAAGAGTCTTGGAAATTATTGCTCAGTGAACAAGATGACGGAAAGGCAGAGTACCCCAGCTCCCCAGGATTAACACCTTTATACCTACAACACTAACTGGGCAACTTGCAGATCTGCTGCTAACATACTAACATCTGCTGCTAAATACTTTAATATTAAAACAATGAATAATGCAATATTTGTGCTAGAGTTTCCAGTATAGAAATGGAACATTTATCTTAGTGAGGAGATAAAACTAACCTCAGATAAGAGGGAGAGGAGATAGGTGTACTATCAAGCCTTCACAGAGTTGCCTGAAACCGTGTGTATTACATTCAGAGGCTCAGAACATTAGATTAACTACTGCAGCTGAAGCAGGGTTATTAGACTATGGAAAATCTGACGTTCCATTTGGTGCTTTAAATTTTTCTAGCCAGAATCAAATTCCTGAAATACTGGCCCTTGCTATACCCATCTCTGGCTGGACCAGCCCCTTGGACCAATTATATAAAATGGAGCCATTTATACACATACTTTAATGTAAACAGGACTGTAGTTTAGTAACCAAACTAATTATTTTATACGTCATCCTAGTGTATAAAGTGTGACCTTTCTCAACCCAAGTAATCAATGTAGAGGAGTAAAGCTTCATCATTAAACTGGAAGGTTAACCTTTGACACAGCCACAAATGGTTACTTTGGCTTAACCCACATGTAGGCATTTCTCAATCACAAATTAACTCATAGATTACATCAACATGAAAGTACATAAGGGCGCTAACTTGCATGTCATTTCATGCTTCTCTATTCAACTTCTTCTAATGTTAAGTAAAAATGAAGGTAAAAGAACAGGAGAAAATGAGGGGGGGGGGGGGGTGGTGGTGGGTGGGTTGGGGGAGAAAGACAGTTCAAACGTGGGTAAAACTAGTATTTTTGTGATTTTTTTGGTTTCATTCTGGTTGGTTAGTGTAGGAACACAAAGCGTGTGATTTTGAGTGCTTTTACTGTACATTATTCTTATATTTTCAACATCAGTGAATTGGCTGAAAATGTGTTTTGCTGCTCAGTGCAGATCTACCAACAAGCTGAGGGTTAAGGATCCCAAACTGAAGCTGGATTAAACAATAATGAAGATTTACAAAACAAGGAGTATTGATAACCGTATTATTGAATGCACCAGAGCTGAACAGCAGGGAGAGAAATCAGATGAATACAGAGACCAGCTGCAATAGCCTCTCTGCCACCACCACCCCAACAAGTTTACTTGTCAATTTCAGGCCAGACTCATCAATTTTAACTAACTGATTTATGTGCGCTCAGAGAGAAACAGAACCAGGGCTATCGGCACTACTGACAGGATTATTGTAATAAGTCTGAAATGGAGTTGTCTTCTTCAAGTCTACTTCCAATACAACTCTGGAGCTGGGAGAGTGGGGTAGATTGGGAGCATGGATGTGAAACTTCCTCCGTGACTGGCTAGAGGACATCCCAAATAGGTCAAGGGATTACAATCTTCATCCTTAAACTCATCTCCGATTAAGAAATAAAATCACTTGGGTATACATCCCACTGTGTCCCTGTGGAGAACAGACTTCAAGCAAAGCCCATGACTCAAACTAATTCCTCCCAAATGCTCAATTGCTGAACTTCAGGTCATCCAGCATCTGTTGCTTTTAATGTTATAAAGAGATCATGAACAGAAACAAGATCGCTTTGTGCACAGTATTCTCAGAACAAAGTTTTGATTGAAAAGGTAAAACCATCTCCTGTTAAGCACTCCGAGACACTGTCCAGCATGAAGGGCGCTATATAAATGGAAGTTGTTGTTGTCGTTGATGCAGACAACTGATCCAGTACTTAGTTGCGACTCCAAAAAACATTCTTTCAAGACGAGGTTAGGGAGAACTGCATACAATCAAAGCCAGAATTTGGGTCAGTATTTTACATTTTCTATTGAGAGGGGATGAAGGTCTAAAATACATTTAGAAAACATTTCTATTCCAATGGTCAACAGTCATTCGCTTCACGGCGGTGGGACATTGCGGTGCACAAAATCGCTGCTGAGCAAAATACATAGTGAATCCTCTGAAGTGTTTTGACACAGCTCCTCAACATTGAAAGGTGCTATATCAATTATTGTTTATTAATAATTATTTATTTATTAATTATTTTGTTAACACAGTGCTATATGGGATAGTGTTGAGCAGGCTTGATTTTGGTTTTGAATTCTCGAGCCAGCTTTTGACCACTGACTCACAGGATGTTGATTGAGTTAAGTCAGAATCCTATTTTTAGTTGCAAAATCAAATGCCTATCTAATCAGGAGCACCAATGGCAAATTCCTTCAGTACATCTATTATATCAGAACTAATCGGGAGGGGGCCATTGTTGGTCATTCGGACATTTGGCACAGGGAATTTTAGCTGCTTGTCATTACAGGTGGATGGCAGAGGCAGGCTTGACACTGTAGGTAAACCGGTCATGTAAAAAGTCATTAAACAGTCAATCCATTAAAACAAAACAGCCCTACATCTGAAAACAAAAGGATTCACTTGTACAAAGAAATGTCACGTACAAATGTAATAGGACAAAACCATAGAGAGCTGAGATCATGGCCACGTACACAGCAGTGTGCAGTTCCAGTTTTACTCGCAGGCCAAGATAAGCTTTTGAATAGCATTTAAATCACAGACGTCATCTGCATTTCAATTTATAGCCCCCCACATTTCGCCCGTTGAAAGTAAAGGTGTCTGTACAGCTTTTAACTTGATTTACTTTGGTTCGCAAATACGTTGGGTTCATTCTATGGAAAGTTTGCGATACAAACCCACAATGTGTTTTTGATCCTGACCAACCCTTTCCACACTATACATTAAGCGCATGTCACAATTCCCAGCTTTGTCCTAGAGTTCAATGTACTTGTGTTTGCACTCAATCAGGGAGTGACTGGAACCCTTAGACAGTAAGTCATAACTTGATAACAAGCATCACAAAGACAAAACTGGCCTGCAGAATTTAAAAAAATGGTTTTATATGAAGACGAATAGAGTAAGATACATTCTTAAAACCTGATTAGCAAGCTTAACCGAAATTAGCTATGGTGCCATTTTGACAACTCAAAGACCATTTGTAGATCAAAATAGAACGTGAACAATGAAAAACTTGTTATTCAGAGAACAATTGCTGAATAAATTTAGGCTTTCTCCAAATCCTGCATTAAACTATTTTACAAGTGTCCCGGGTTGGAAGATTTAGTGTTTAAAAAGCTGCCAAAATAATCCAATTGTTTAAGTGCTCCAACCTTAATATGCACTTTGATTGATGACCAGGTAAATGTAAGATTTTACTGGAGTGGGAATGACAGATCACAACAAGGCAAAAGGGTGAAGGCCCGTTTTGACCCATTAAATCGCATCTTTTCAGCAAACATGCACAAAAGAATTTACAGATGTAAGTAATTCATTAGCATTTGCCCGAATAATACAATCACTGCACTTTACAGTAAATCCTGTGAAGCGCTTTGAGCCGTTTCCACAATGTAAGGAGGAAGATAAAATGCAAGGATTCTTATTATATGATGTAGTTAACAGCTAATGCTGCGCTTAAAATCTTGAATTAGAACAAACAACATCAAGCATTAGAGGCATACTTCAAAAATGAAATATTTCTGCCAATGCCTTATTTTTAAGGGATAAATTGAATGCCCACTGGAGTTCACAGAAGTACATACTGCATTAGCTTAATAAGTATCAGCATGTCACCACATGAACTCATAAGACTGCACATTGTGGCCACAAACATGAGGCAACGATTCTTTAAACTCATCCCACGCTAGTCTTAATACTC